GGTGGTTTCTCAAAAACTTAAAAACTACCATATGATCCAGCAATTCTACCACTGGGTTTTGAAGATAAGGTCTCAAAGAGTTATCTGTACACACAAGTTCATAGTAGCATTAGTCACAATAGCCAAGAGGTAGAAGCAACTCATGTGTGCATCAATGAATAATGAATAAACAAAATGTGATATATACAATGGAATATTATTTATTAATATTAACAACATTATTAGAGATCAGTTGCCTGACAATGTGAATATATCTAACCCTATTGAACTATATAATTAGAAATGGTTAAAATGATGAATTTTATGTTATGTGTATATTACTACAATTTTTTTAAAAAGACACTCCTAGTAGAAAAAGAGGAAATATAGTAGAACCTCCCAACTGACCATCTCCTAGAGTTGACCTAATTTTCTTAGGCCAGGCATGTACATGTACAGTAGGCATAGTTCCTTATGTTAACCACCTCTGTATGTTGACCAGTTTGTTATAGTCCTTTGAGAGTGGCCAACTTACCAAGGCACTACTGTATTTGCAAATTATACCTCTGAAAAAAGACTTGTATTCATAATATACAAAGAATTCTCAAATCTCAAGAAGATAATCCAATAAAAATGTGTTAAGATTCTAACAGACACTTCAATACAGATACACAAAGATCATATTAGCATATTAAAAATTCTCATCAATTATAATGAAATGCAAAAACGCAAATATAACCACAAAGAAATACCACTTCACATATGTTAGAATACATAAACAGACTGCCCATTCTGAGTATTGGCAAGAATATGGAACAAATAGAATCCTCATACACCACTATTGACTATGTGAAATAGCATAAATATTTTGGAAAATAGTTTGGCAATTTCCTAAAAAGTTAAACATACACCTACCATATGACCCAGGCATTTAATGCCTAGGTATTTGCCAAGGATAAATGAAATCATATGCGCAAAGACTTATACCTGGATGTTCATAGCAGCTTTACTTGTACTAGTCAAAAAGTGGAGACCACCCAAATGTTTAATCAGTAGTTAACAGACAAACTGCGGTATATAGCCATGCGATGGAATGCCACTAAATAATAAAAATGAATGACACATACCACATGGAGCAATCTCAAAATAAACATTCTGAGTAAAAAAACAACACATACTGTATGATTCCACTTATGTAAAATTCTAGAAATGCAAATGAAATCTATAGTGACAGGAAGTAGATGGTTCCCTGAAGATGATGGAGAGGGGAAAGAGAAGAGAAAACAAAGCAGCAGAAGGAAAATTTAGAGGGATGGCAAATAATGTTCCAAATTTTAATTGTGGTGCTGGTTTCCTGGATACACACATGTATTAAAACTTATAAAGTTGAATCATTTAAACTTGTAAAGTTTATTACGTCTCAATTATACCTCAATAAATCTTTTTTTAAAAAAAACAAAGCTGCTTTTTAGGACTAAAGAATCTATTTTCAAAGCAGTGGATGGAACTCACCTGAGTGAGTATGTAAATTAAAGTAATTAAATTGTTAATTAAAAAAAAAAATTGAAATCCTACCAGAGAACAATTTGCTTAACAGTTTTCTGCAGAACATAGAATTCTTCCAATCCAGAACCTCTACAATCCAACTGCCACATGAAGGGCTATAAAAGTATAGTCTAACTATCTTTAAAGAAAGAATGTAAAATGT